GGGAGTCCGTGAGTTTGGCTCGTGCCGAACGCGTTTGTCGGGACTTTGCCGGTCGCGAACCTGAATCGAAGCGCCTGCCGCCGCCGCCGTCACCGCCGTGCTCATCTTCGCTCGGTGGCCATCGCCACCGATTCTGCGCCAAAGTCCCGGTCGCGGATGCAATCTGAGGTCCGATGCCAGGAGTGCCATTTCCCTAGGCCCGGTATGGTGCGTGTGCGTGCGTGTGCGTGCGTGCGCGTGTGTAAACTCGGCCTCAAATGGGTACCTGGTGTCGAGGGTGTAAACATCGCCACTCGGGTGACAAAGGCGGCCGGGCGTGGATCTGGTCACCCGCCCCCTCGTGTGCCGTGACGACCTTGATTAGGCGTTCGCCAACAGCACTTTCTCTCCTACAGTCTGGCGAGGATTATATAGGGGAACTTTGTGTCTATTGCGCGTACGCCTGCATGCACGCGCGTGCGTGCGCGTATGTGTGCATAATCTGCATTGCTTCCAATGCGGTCCAAGGGATGGCCGCAGACCACATGAAACCCCGCCGCAACAAAAACACCGCGTGGACCACGTGCAGGCCAAGATACTGAACCGGCGGAACGGCTGCCATAGTTGCCACGGCTACGGGAGCGAGCGGGCGAGCGGGCGGGCGGGGAGGGGGTGGAAAAACTTCACCTAAACAAAAGCCCGGGGAAGCTCAAGCGCATTGACCTTTGCTCGGACGGGGTCACCCGCCTGCCCCCCCCATCCCTTATCTGCATGTCGTGCTGCAATACGGCCTCCGCCAAATGGGGATTTTAGCCTCGCCTCCGTCACTCGAGCGCGATAGCGCCGTGGTCAAAGGTGACGCAGCCACCGCATGAGCCACGATTGACTTTTAATTGGTAATCAAGTGCAGCACTGTGTCCACGAAAGTCGGAAGCTTTTCACCAATGGGAGAGAGAGGATGTGCTGTGGCTGGGTTTCCTCCCCAACAAAAAGCTTTGCTCCAATGCAATCTCTTTGGTTATGTTTGGGGGATGCAAGCCCACAGAATGTAATGACCCTCTGGCAAACGCTGCAAGGCGTGGAGCGGCGGAAGCAGTGGTTAACAGACTGCGCGAAGAACCCGACGATCCGAGTTCGACTCTCAGCGGCGAGCGACACATGAACTGCTCCTGGGCCACCCCCGCCACCCCCCTTACGCCAAACAGAATCAAGAATCGAGAAGGGAAATCCCACGGGCTAAACGGCGTATGGTGGCCTTCATCCAGCAGTGGATTGACCAAGGGCAGCACAGTATCGATGAAGGCTTGAACACCGAGAACGGCCGAGAATGTGCTGGGGGCAGAGAGGACAAAGACAAAATCCCCCGTATAGCCTTAACAAACCGTAGGGGCAAGTGCTGTTCAGGAGTCGCGCCTATGAAGGCCGGCACGGCACGCGATGGGTTGGGTGGCCAACACCACACCCGGCCGCCTTTGTCTCCCATAGTGGCGATGTTTACACATCGCACCAGGTACTCAATCGAGGCTGAGTCGACCTAGGGGAGGCCCAGGACCGGTTCAAATAAACGTCACTGGCGTTGACCGCGAGCGGGAGTCGAACACGGGTCGCCGGGATCGCGTTTGCGTCACGCACGCACGCGTCTGCCCAACCGCCTCGCATGGCGAGACGTCGTTGGCAGTGCCAGGCTAACAGACGTCCTTCAGTCCCCTGCGCCGTGCGTATATAATTACATATATTGCATATCCGTGCCCGGTGCCCTTTTAGCTCCTGTGAAGCGTCGCTGGAAAACAGTGTCGCGTTACCCCCGCCACGGTGTCACGTGGCACGCCCGTAGGGAACTGGGCAAACGCCGAGCACAACATTGAAGCTTTACGTGCTTTCACCTCCACCCCCCCCCCCCCCCCCCCCCCCCGAAACCAAACACCCTCCGCACCAGCCCTTTCGCGGCCACCTGCGAGCAAAGTTGACGGAATCTTCGCCGCGGATCGGCAGCGCTTCTCGCGGCCGCTGGGAAGGTCCCAGGTAGGCGCCACAGGGATTCCTCCAGCGGAGTTGCGCAAAGCGGCCCTGGCGGCGAGAGTTCAATGAGTGCGCCGAGGCGCTTGCCTTCGAGCGCCTCTGCGTTCGAGCTTCGAGAGGAAGGAATATTTGGGGGCGGCCGCGAGGAGCTTGCTTTGCGAGGCCACCACCTTCGACGGGTCTCAAGGATTATCGCCGCGGTGGTTCCAGGCATGGTGCCGTCATCGTGGCGTATTCGACGCCCGTCCGTTTTGTGTTCAAGCATCCGCGCCTCTTAAGTGGCCTCCGTGAAAGGTGTGGGGCCAAACATCCCAGAGAGCAGGAACCTCTTGGGGTTCGGCCAGGAGAGGGCAGTGCAGAGTGTCGCCCCCCTTCGTACCCGGGGGGGGGATGGTGGGAGGGGGGGATGGTGGGAGGGGGGGGGTCTCGAGGATCGTTCTCGTGTACCTCCCCCACACGATGCCAAACACGCGCTCGCGGAGTTGGCCAAATATCCCAATGTGTAAGCAGCACCCGACTTAAAACTAGTCTTGAGACTCGTGGGAGGGGGGGAGGGGAGCGGATGATTTGGCATTAGTTGGAAACAAGCCAACATTGGTCCATTGATAAAATAATTCCTAAGCAGTTTTTTCAGAGAACAACTTTTTGTCCAAGAAGCCATTGCCCTGAATTTCAAAAATAAATTCCTCTCTCTTTTCCCCTTGGCTAGGAAACCAAAAGGCCAATTCCCTCCCCCACCCCCCCGTACTTTGGCGTGTCGTAATTTATCCTTTAAAACACAGTCGATGTATTAAGACGGCGGCTTTCCGGCGAACACAGCGTCAAGAGGTGGTGGTGGGGGGGGGGGTTTCAAAGTGCGCAATGGCAGGAGAGAGCGAGAGTGGACTCGAGGCTCCATTAATACCAAAGGAATGCACCTCGGAGCGTCGGGTGACACTGTGCCCCTAATGGGAACGCGCGCACTTTTCACAACAAAAATGACGCCAATGATTTACCCGAGAAAGCCTCGCCGGGCCCGAGGACTCTCTTCCAGGAGGGCTTCTGCTACGTTGGGATGTTTGGTCAATGATGTTCATTAACGAGCGCTGGGCTTCGTGCGAGAGGAAAACGGAGAACGTGGAGCAAAGGCAACACCACACCGTTGCTGTGTCCGAGAGGATTTTCGGGGGCGGTAACTCTCGGCACTGCCATCTTCTGGCCACACGACGTAGTCCACGCCTACGACACCTGCCAAGGCCAGATACTGGTCACCCATCCATGTACTGAACAGGTTAAAAATCCCTGCTTAGCTTCCGAGATCCAACAGGGTCGGGAGAATTCTGGAAGATTTCTGGGCCCGGCGCACTACTCTTACGTTCAGTTCACGACTGTGCGCAGTCAATAGCTCCGTGTGTGTCTGTGCAGTCATGGGGAGCGGTAGCGTAGCGGTTAGCGCGCCACGCGACGAACACGGGTTCGATTCCCGAACACGGCCAACACCAGCGACGATTATCTGAACCGGTTCTGGGCCTCCCCTAGGTCGACTCAGCCTCGTGCGACTTGTAAAAACATCGCCACTGGGTGAGAGAAGGGCAGCCGGGCCTGGTGCTGGCCACCCACCCCTCGTGTGCCGTGCCGGCCTTCATAGGCGCTCGCAAATAGCCCTTGCCCCGACAGGTCTGTTAAGGCTACGCGGGGATCTTTGTCTTTGTAGTCATCCCGAGACTCGCCCGACTCTCGTCTCCAGCCGCGCACCGAGCGCCAAAGGTCTCGGCAGCGCTCTGCGCGAGACATCGGCGCGACGGTCTTAAAGGCTCTCGCCGGGCATGCTTCGACTGGAGGCACATGCCGACGACGTCGACACCGTGACGATGCAACAAGCCGGGGCTCCTTTCTCGCGTCACGGACGCCAAAGGACGCCGAGCTGTGCACGGAAGATGCTGCTACTGCCTGGACTGGGTTTAACCCCCGACCACGAATTAATTGGGGATCATATCTAAGCGGGTTTAGCCTGCCCAATGACCGGACGCGCTCAGGCTAGAGGGTGCGTTTAATTTAAAAGAGCTCCCAATCCTTTGTCGATCCACTGCTGGGCAAAGGCCGTGTTGGCCATGGGGGCCGTTTGACCAGATTTCACCACACTGGTCAGTGCAGGTTGGGGAAGCGAGGTGACTCAGATGTTACTCGCCACTGATGTTAGCCATGGCCGGGCATCGAACTTGGGTGACGAGGCTCAAAAGCCCAGTGCGTGAATCACTCCAGAGTTTGTTTTAGGATACCCCGTTAAAACACAACCCCCCCCCCCCACCCCGTGACTCCCACGCAGATGTGATGGTCGGGGATTACACGCGCAGACCTAAAAACAAAGAGAGGAACGCGCGGATCGCGGAACAAATGGAGGGAAACACACACAGACAGCAACTGTGGCTGTTGAGGAGGGCACGCGGACTTGGAACGCATCGGTGAGCAGGGACGGTGGGCGATGGACGAGCCCGGTGACGGAGTGGGAGCCAAAGGGAAAGGAGAGAACGCGCCCGAGGGGACGCCAGGGGCGAGCTGGAATGTGCAACCCCAGGAGGGATGGCGATGACGAGGCCGACCTTCATCCAGCAGTGGATAGACAATGGATGCTGCTGCTGATGATGATGATGGAAGGGAGACCATCGAGCTGATCATGACTCGCGATGATGATTGTGGTGGTTGACTTGGGGATGTTACGCATCCAGTGATGGAAATAATGAAGAAGTATAACCAAGGTTAACACGACAACTCAGCGATGATGGTAATGATGCCCAAGGTCCACGAAGATCAGGGTGACAATGTGGACGTCTCCGTGCAGCATTGGAGATGATGATATACAGACAACCTAACAGCCCACCTGAGCTCAAATTGCTGCTGCTGATGACCACCACCACCGCCACCGCCACAGAGCGCCCATCGACCCCCATTGCGCCCCAGCATCACAACGAGACAGAAAGCGAGCGAGCGAGCGAGAGAAATCCGTCACCGCCGTTGGGACTCACCCTCGCAGTGTCCCGGCGTCATGCTGAACCCGAATCGCGCGGCGAGTGGCTGCGCGCACCGCAGGCCCCGGTCGCACGTGCCCAGCATGTCGTACATGCCGCCGCACGCCTCGCCCACCTGCTTGGCGCACGCGTGGCAGCAGTGGCACACGTCAGGCACCGTGCCACCCGCGCAGCCACGCGGCGCCTCGCAGCGCGCGCGGTCGCAGAGGCACGAGAGGGCAGACGCCGTGGAGACGAGGAGGGCGCCCAGGAGGGCGCCGAGGAGGAGGCTGAGGAGGAGCGGGCGAGCGGGGCGCGCTCCGCGGCGCAGCGGAGCAGCCATGGCACGGACTTGTTCACTCGCTGCCGCTGGTGACGCTGCTGCTCGTGTCGACCGACAACGCAGCCTCCACTGCCTCTCGCCTCGCCTCTAGTCACTCGCGTACCCTGCTGGCTGACGCCCCAATGCTACCCACCGCTTGCAGTCAATCCCACTCCTCGCTTCACCGCTCCTGCCTCCAGACACGAACACGGCGAACTAACTGCTACAGTAACTCCGCTCCCTTTCCCCACCCCCCCCTCTCTCTCTCTCCTCGTGGCTGACACTCGAGAAGACAACTCGCTTGCCACGCGTTCGCGCCCCCTATCACCACTCTGTGTGTGTGTGCAGGCAGATAAGACTCCGAGCGAATCTGTGCGTCTCTTGTGGGTTAGCTCCGCTTGCGTTGGAATAATTCGAGATGTCGGTTTTGTCGATCTCTCTGGGTTTACGCGTGGTGCGTGTGTGTGTAAGGTCTAACACTACCTGCAGTGTGAGAGAAGTGTACGTAAGCGCACGCACGCACACGCGTGTTTGTGTGCGTGCGTGGTGTTCCCGGGACTCCCCGCCCTGAGTGGCGCCCTAGACCGCACGCGTCTCGCTCGATGTTCCGAGATTCTCTCCCTCTCTCTCTCCTCTCCCCCAACTCTCTCGCTCTCCGAAGAGTAACGACGACAAGTCCCTCCAACTCAACGGTATGAATTATTCATACAGCTGGCTCGACAGCAACTTCCCTCCCCAAAAATGTATCCTACCTTCCTTACCTTCCTACCCTTATCCCGCCATGCGCAGCAGAAAAACAACGAACGGCAACAAGACCCCAACTTGTCTACGTCACACTGCCATTAGCAGCAACAGCTGCAGCAGCTACAATCACCTCCAACTACACGTAACAGCTACGGAGTAGGAGACCGCGACTCGCCCTGGCTGTGTTATATATATCGCCTCTCAACCTCTAGCTTCGCACAAGTCTGGCTCTACGCTTCCCTTGCCCCCCGCTCTCTCTCTCTCTGCTTCCTCGAGTGCTGGCTCGGCTATGATGATGGAGACGCGGGCGGAGCAGAGCAACCGAGACGCCACCGCCCTCCGCCTTCTCTCCTCCCTCCCCCCCCTTTCTGGGTCTCGCGCTGCGTGGGCTGTGCCGTGCGTTCCCTCCAACCCACGGTACTTTGAGCCGCTCAGCGCTCTCTCCCTCCCTCCCTCTCTCCACCCCACTACTTGGCTCGTTCAGTGCTGTCAATCACAGTCGCGCCTCCCTCTCTCATCCCCTCCTCGCTCGCCCTCCTCCCCCTGCCTCTCCGTAAGAGTTCAGCAGCGGCAGCAGTCGCGCGAATGCAAAGACAAAGATGCCCCCCGCGTAGCCTCTCGCTGACTTTTGGCGACAAGTGAACCTTACGGCGGGAACCCCGGGGTCCCGAATAAACGGACGGTCAAAATCATAATTAATTTATTTTTGGCGACTCGCAACATGAACGCCGCTTCCCACCAGCAATCAATCCTCTCCTCGTTCTTCACCAAGCACCCGACGTTGCCAAAGTTGCCGTAGTCATAAACAAAACTTTGGAACTTTGATTAGCGCATCGTGTAGTGTTCGTCAAGAGGAATAAAATTGCCGCGACGCAGTTCATGCGGGAGCCGGGGGCTTATTGGACCCCGTGGTCCCTCGTTAGGTTCAAGTGCTGTTGGCCAGCACCCTATGAAGGTCAGCCACGCCCACGAGGAACCTGGCCTGGCCAGCACCACGCCCGGCCGCCTTTGTATCCCCTCAATACCGACGCTTGCACACCGCGCCTGGTGGTGCTCATTGAAGGCCGAGTCTGCCTCCAAGGGGGTGCAAGAGCCGCTTCAGAAATCACTCCGCCACTGATGTGAGCCGTGGCCGGCAATCGAACCCAGGTGGGGATGCTGATCACCCTTGCAGCCTGTGCATCGATCTCTTACCCGCTATGATACAGTATACACACGTGCGTGTGTGTGTACTGTAGAACTACCTGAAGGTGGTGGACCGACAGTGGGGGAAACAAAGGCGGTCTGGCGAGACATCGTGCTGCGAGCGAACACCTACCTACCGGCCTTAATAGGTGCTCGCTAACAGCGATCACAGCGGGGGGGGGGAGGGGGGTGTAGCGGGGCGGTGGCACGGCGATTCGCGCCCTGCGCCGTGTACCTGGCAGCCTGAGTTATCGGCTAACATCAGTGGCTCGTGGAGTCTGAATCCGGCCCTGGGCCTCCTTCACTAACCCGCACGAACCAGCATGGTGATGTATGGTCAAACAAGTTCGCATCAAACCGTTGTGATAGCAGTGGAGTGACTTTGGGGGGGGGGGAGGGGGGGTTGAGTGTGAGTAGGGGGGGTGTGAGTTGGGGGGGTGTGAGTTGGGGGGGGGCAGCCTCTGCGCTGTTCGCTGTTTGTTCGGTACCGACTCCCGTGTGGTGCCGAGGAGGGGATGTGAGCGTTGTCGCCATCGGATGGAGGGGAGGGTTTTCCGCATTCCTCCCCGGTGGAATGTGACCCCCACCACCTCCTCCTCCAGCATCACCACGCCAACATCACCACCATCACCACGCCAACATCACCACCATCACCACGCCAATATCACCACCATAACCACGCCAACATCACCACCATCACCACGCCAATATCACCACCATAACCACGCCAACATCACCACCATAACCACGCCAACATCACCACCATCACCACGCCAATATCACCACCATCACTACGCCAATATCACCACCATCACCACGCCAATATCACCACCATCACCACGCCAACATCACCACCATCACCACGCCAACATCACCACCATCACCACGCCAATATCACCACCATCACCACGCCAATATCACCACCATCACCACGCCAACATCACCACCATCACCACGCCAACATCACCACCATCACCACGCCAATATCACCACCATCACCACGCCAACATCACCACCATCACCACGCCAACACCACCCCCTGTGGGCAGGACCTCCCGGGCCCCTCCCTTCCCGGCCTGCGCTGGGGGTTGAGTGCCACCAGCCACCACCACCACCAACCACCACCACCAACCACCACCATCAACCACCACCACGCTCCTCACGTTGAGTCATCGAGCAGAGTCCGGCGGGACACCCTGACCCAGAGCCCTAGCCTGAGCAGAGACACGGGACACGGAGACAGAGACACGTGAGACAGAGACACGGAGACAGACGGCGGAGACAGAGACACGGGAGACAGCGACATGGAGACAGAGACACGGAGACAGAGACACGGGAGACAGAGACACGGAGACAGAGACACGGAGACAGAGACACGGGAGACAGCGACACGGAGACAGAGACACGGAGACAGAGACACGAAGACAGAGACACGAGAGACAGAGACACGGGAGACAGAGACACGGAGACAGAGACACTGAGACAGAGGACACGGGAGACAGAGACACGGGAGACAAAGACCCCCCCCCCCCCCGTATAGCCTTAACAGACTGTAGGGGCAAGAGCTATTAGCGAGCACCTATGAAGGCTGGCACGGCACACGAGGGGGTGGGTGGCCAGCACCACGCCCGGCCGCCTTTGTCTCACACTGAGAGAGCGTCAGCGAGTGCCACTGCCAGGAGGGTTTGCTGCTCCACTGGGAAACTTTGGCCGAGTCCATGAATGAGCGCGGTGATGGGCACCGCGCGGACCTCTCGGCTCGTCGCGAGACAGTGGCTGATTATTCGGCATGCAGGACGAGCGTGCATCATCAAGATGTCAACTCACGACCCAGCGAAGGCGGAGATTCTGCAACACGGCAAGGGCGAGGGATGAGGGGTGGGGGGACGTACTGGGGGGTTGTGTTTCTAGACACCCCCCCCCACCGCACCTCCCCCCTCGATGGATCAGAATAATATCGCTGTCGCAGACAAGGAATGGAACGCGTTTTGAGAGTGCGAATCCATCGAGGAGATGGACTCGATGAAATAAAAAAAAATGTTTGCGCGGGCGCTGGTCGGGTTACTACATCGCAGGATCGTGACAGGTGGCGGCGGCCCCGGTAGGCAGTCATCCAGCAGTGGATTGACCGTTCGCGCGATTGCGCTGACGATGCTCCAGGTGTTGGGACGCTCGATGTGAAAAAAACGTTTTTTTGGAATGAAACTAAAAGGGCAGACAAAATGTTGGTGGCCGGGTGTCGAATGTTCACCTGTTGCCGGATCAGAGGTGTGCTCACTTCAGAATCAGAATATTTATTTATACCGGAGGAGGAATCCGATGAGCTATGAAGCTCTTTTTCACAGACGTCCAGTCGGGGCACGGGGTAAGAACGTAACACAACAACACACGGTGCAACAACGTGATCGTCGTGAATAGTACAAGAAAGGTAAACTAAATTTTGATTTAAAGCTTTCGTGACTGCAGGGATGCATATTCTTGGTTCTTTCGGTAAAGTCACGTAGAAGGGAAGCAATAAAATAATAAAAATATAAAACAATAAAAAAATCTCACGACGTTTCGACTGCAACACAAGCAATCATCATCAGGTGTGATGATCAGGTGTGATGACGATTGCTTGTGTTGCAATAGAAACGTCGTGAGAATTTTCTTGTTTTATATTTTTATTATTTTATTGTTTCCCTTCTACGTGACTTTACCGAAAGAACCAAGAATATAACGTGATCGTCGTGAATTTTTCAAGAAAGGTAAACTAATCACCGAAACGCACACAAAAACAACAACTAAACCATCCCCATCTTATCAGGCAAAGCCCACTGAGGTGCTAACTTATTTTTCAGAAGCGACCTGACCACAAATAAAAGCTCAACAAAGTGGTTTATACTTTGGACATTTATGGCAGAAAAATCATCTAAACGAGTGGTTTCTTAACCTGGGGTGCACGCTGCACCCCCTGGGGGTGCGAGATGCCCTTTCTGGGGGTGCGAGACGTGGCCAGATTTTTCTCGAAGATAAATCATCGACAACACAAATTAAGCACGGGCACGTTAAGTACAACTTACTTCGTTTCATGAAACCTGCGTCTGTATTAACATTATAATTTAGTTTTACGATGGAGAACCGAAAGAGGTTGCAAGGCTGCGCTAAAAGGTTTAAGAGACACCGCTCTAAACGATCTCAATGCCGGCTCGTGTTGCACGGCTGCGCATCGGGGCCCTCCCGTTCCGAGCGAGGCGTTGCCGGAGGGCCACCACCCCGCTCACCCTCCCGCCCGTGATCGCCCTGAGCGACGTGCACAGCTCCGGCAAGAGGGCGCTCGTGAGCGCGTAGTCATCGAGAGATTGGGCACCTTGTCAATGCAACGCCACCCGGCCCCTCCCCCTTGTCCTACGTGAGGTAACGTTGTAACAAAGACACCTCTCCCGAGTTCACGACGGCGTATTCAGTATGCGTTGTTGCTGCTGCTGCTGTTGTTGTTGTTATCAATCCACTTGTTTATCCAGGAAAGCCCCGCTGAGTCCTCACGACTATTTTTGTTCGGAAGGGTCCTGCCCAAATTGTTTTGCGGTAACGGGGCGACGATTGCCATGTGGATTCCAAATGAGCACTTTGCGGTGCAATTTGATCAAAGTCTGCAAACTTTCAAGCCGGAACACAAACGAGCCCCACTCCTGCGAATGCCGTCACGGCATCTGTGACGTCGGCTGTGCGGAAGATGGCCCGAAGTGGCTGTACGGTGAGCAACACCCGCGGTATTAATCAGGGCGGCCACTCAATGTCGAACCGCGAAACCCCCCCCCTTGCAACGAAGCGGTTGACGCCCCCCCCCCCCAGCTCGGCTGCGTCACGGCTTGGTAGTAGGCGACCTCAGCTCCCACGCCAGGGTCCTGACAAGAGGCGCTGGAGGATCGCGCTGGAGGGGCGTTTGGGCGGTGGTCGGGAGGTAAAGAGAGAGAGGGGGGGGGGGGGGGGTTCGGGTCTCTCCCCAATTAGTGTCAATTAATCACGAGAGAGGCGGCGATGCAATCCCGAATTACCATTGCCGACCGCAGCTCCATGGCGACACGAGGCATCGTGTTCACGCGCGCCTCGCCGATTGACGGCAATTTGCGAATTCCCATCGCTGGAATGAATGGCGAGCGTTCGACTCGTGTCGATCCCCACCCCCCCGAACCCATCACATCATTCCTCGCTGACC